CAGGCCTGAACGGGATCCCGTTCCGGCTTGGTAGCTAGATTTTTTTTCGTTTTTAATTTACTGACACAGAGGATCCCACAGATAATGGCCAACAAGTACCGATCGATTGTAACATAGATCTGTGATCTAGGTTGCGTTGATTTTATTTCGAATCGGCATGATCTGTAGTGTTTTGAACTTCTGGGATTAGCGGACATGCAGATGTATGTAGACCCGTTTTTAATCTTTAATCTATAATCATTAGTTATACATGGTAAAATTCATCAGGTACAATAAATTCCACTAGCCCGGACGTTGCGCAGAAGGGTTAATCTGTTAATGTGTCAGCCCTATCTGTAGGCCCTCTGCTTTGACTGTTTAGGAGTGACATCCACGTTGATTGCTGTATTCGATTTGACTATCCTAGTTCGGAAGGGTAGTTCCAATGTTTACGACCTGAACATAGCGTAAGAGTCCTGGTTTTTATTATTATCATTATCATTATCATTATCATTATCATCATCATTATTATTATTATTAATATCATTCTTCTTCTTCTTCTTCTTCTTAACATTTTGCTGGTCGCTAAGTGAAATCAACATCCTTGTCGTCACGCGTTAACGTGAAATCAACATTTTAACCTAGTTAGGCCTAAAGTCAACATTTTTGAGCTGATGCGTTGCGTGAAATTAACATTTTGCTGGTTTCTAAGTGAAATCAACATCCTTGCCGTCACACGTTAACGTGAAATCCACATTTTAACCTTTTTTGACCTGGAAACATAATTTTTGAGCTTATACATGTACGTTGCGTGAAATTAACATTTTGCTGTTTTCTAAGTGAAATCAACATCCTTGCCATCACACGTTAACGTGAAATCCACATTTTAACCTTTTTTGACCTGAAAACATAATTTTTGAGCTTATACATGTACGTTGCGTGAAATTAACATTTTGCTGTTTTCTAAGTGAAATCAACATCCTTGCCATCACACGTTAACGTGAAATCCACATTTTAACCTTTTTTGACCTGAAAACATAATTTTTGAGCTTATACATGTACGTTGCGTGAAATTAACATTTTGCTGTTTTCTAAGTGAAATC